CCATGTAACTAATTAAACAGCCGAAAGGATGTTATGAACCTTCCTCAGAAATGAGAAACGAAATACACAAGAATAGATATAGGGAACTGTACTCAACATCACACTGTTGCAGCGTGCAACCCGATCCACACATGATACCGTTGCGGCGTGCAACCCGGTCCAACCATGATACCTGTGGCGGCATGACAACCTATCCAAACAACATATCTGTGGCGGCGTGCCACCCGATCCAACCATATGACCATGGTGGCATGCCACCCGATCCACACATAATAATCTAAAGAAAACACACATCGAGTCAAAACGCTTATACTCACGAAATGCCTGAATATCAACCATAAGCACACCAAGTGCATAATACAAATCTTGGGGAGACGGGTAGCGTCATACGCTATAAAACTCAAGCACGGCTAAGGTGCAATATATGATCTGCATCTCGAGAGCCATCCTTCTCACATAATACCACCGCTACGCGGGACCTCAACACATTGTACAAATAATCAAGCCGTCTCACAACTCACATGGCACAATAGGGTATTGCATGAAATAGTCGGCGACGAAATTAACACCCCACGCCCGAATACTCTTCCATAAGGAATGCTATGTTGGATAAACACACCCAGACTGGTGTAGAGTACACATCCACATTTAGACCCATCAACGGACCTCAAATCGATTTTGATCATACCATGCTTGGGCAAATAACCTCTCAAGGATCCGCAATGACCATTTTACCATGAACAAACTTCCACATTAGCATCGAATCTGGAGCAAACTTCCGCAACTCACAATCAAATGAAACGAGCACCCTTCAGGCATAAATTCTCACATTAGCGATAGTACCACAATCTTCATACTTGGTTTTAAATCTTTACTCAATCAGGTGACTACATATCACACTTATACAATCTTCCCGTGGGATGCACTCCCACGACCTTCCGCATTAGGTAACAAGTCTGCACCTCCATACTGCCGGCCACATTAATGCTGTAAAGTAAATCAAGAATCCGCAAATCAGTACACATGGCCTCTTACACAGGATACCGATCTCAGGTGAAGCTAAAGACAATACCAACTTACTCTAAACATCTGAATTCTTCCCTGCTCATCCGAACTCTTGACATTCTTATTGACCTCAACCGCAACCTTGATCCTCAACTTCTAATTCCCTTGCCGCTTACTGCACCTAACATACCAATACGCAAGAGTACACGAATTTCATCATAACTCCCGAACCAACAATAAGGAACACACTTCATCAAATAGAAACTTTTTATTTAACTCATTTCAGGAGAACCATTGCCACACGTGACTGAATTTCCATAATCGCAGAAAATATAACCCCACGTAGTGGTCTAAACCACCATGTCCCTTCCGGTATCCATCTCCTCATAACAGGCCATAATAACCGAATACCTCCAAATAAATCAAATTACGGCGGTCGTCAAGCCACGCACGTACTGCCACGATCACCTATAAAACTTAACGCGTTGAAGGACCCGATCATTGCCACATCATGCCGATCCAACCATTGCTAACTGATCTGACTTCTTCTAATTACCCTGGACTTGCCTTATGAATAATAATAGCTCCATTTAAAACATAACGACCCCAATTCCGCACCCATCCTAAGTGACCCCATTTCACGAGACCACATCATCTCAAAACTCACAAACCGCATCATACCCTCATTGGGCCACAATAGCATCGCCAACGGGTACACCCGTTCTGCAAGACCTTTCGCGAATCCGAAGCTACTTCTTTCCTTCCTCCAATACTGCACCGCATACCTAATGATAACATAAAACATTCCAAGTATCTTTCATACTCCACTACAACAATTTGATACTTAACTATACTATGGACTCGCAAATCCTTAGACACCGCACTTTAATTTTGAATCCCCTAGGACCGTTGTTGAGAGCCACCCACTCTGACTTGGTCCCGAATATAATCAACTCCAAGGCTCTGTTAGCACATGAATACCCTCTCTAAGAGGCACCCGACAAAATCACCTCTCTTGTACATCACATCTACACAAAGCATAAATCTTGAGTCTTCCCAAAGCCTGAACATGTATTGATAAGGCCAATTATAACACACATTACTCAAATTCTTTGCTCTAATCACCACTGATGTTCTCTTTCCTTAGCCATAATAACCCACCAATATGCCGATAACCAGAAACCTCCCAAGTAAACAACCATGCAATCCAGTCGTAGGCGGTGGGGCTCTCCCACTTAGCTTGAAGCTACAATTACATCGCCCTGGAGCCCACCAAGATTCCTTATTCCTCATTGACATAATCTAAAGGTGCGACAATACCTTCCAATCCAAAGTCATGTAGTATCCTTCTTCGTACCAAGCAACTCCTTTTCTGTCGTATCTAACCTTCCTCCGTATAGTGACCAATATTTCTGTCGTATCCAACCTTTCTCCGTATAGTGGCCATCTTATTACGCCAATTACCATCACATAATTTTGTAAATAAAGGAAACTTTTGAGGCATTCTCGAGGCCCAAATTGCCAAGCCATGTCTGCTTTAATGGAACATCTATTTACCCCTGATTTTGTACATTATTACATAAATTGCCATCACATATTGGATGTAAATAGGCGAAACTTTGAGGCATTTTCAAGGCCCAAAATGCAGGCTGCCACGTTGAACGACTTTTGCTTCTTTGTTTTAAACTTCTACATTGATTATGGCGGGCCCACTAAATTATCATTGCTTTACTTAGTGGGCGTTTAGACATAAGAATTGTAAAATTTCAAAACAGGGAAAAAAATATTTTAAGTGAAAATGGTATTTGAAATTTAGAGTTGTATTTGAACATGAATATAATTTTGGGTTGTTTTTAAAGTTTTGTGAGTGATTTGAGTGAAAATTTTGAAAAATAGGTCTTTTAATTTTTCAAATTTTCAAAAATTTTCAAATTGCATCTTCAAGTAAAAATTAAAAATTTTATGAACAAACAATGATTTCGAAAAAAAATAAAAAAAATTTGAAAGAAAAGAAAAAATTTCTTATGTTCAAACGTGCTCTTATTAGACTCCACTACTACTGAAGTGATGGTATTGTTGTATGTAACTTTTATTTCCAAACGTGCTCTTATTGTGCTCTTATTTCTTATGTCCAAACGTGCTCTTATTGTTGTTGTAGAAAAAATTTCTAATTTTTTTATTTTATGTAACTTTTGAATATTTATGTACTTTGATAAAAATTACATAAATATAAAAAATGAAATATCAAATAAAAATGGTAGAGATAACTAAAGTTAATAAGATTTTTTAACAATTTACATTCCTATATCTAAAGTAAAAGTTCTATATTTTTCTAAATATATAATGTTTAAAAGTTTTTAATCAATTTTTTGTTTTAATATTTTTAGAAGTGTGAAAACATTTTTTTTCTTAATTTCTTATTTGATTTTAAAATAAGAACAAGGAGAATATTAACTATTATAACCAAGCCACAAATTATTTACATAAGGCTAATTCTTAAATGATATTGCACCATCTCAAATCAAAACGTTAAGTTACTTTTATTAATCATTACTCAAGCCATTCCCATTTAGAAAATAAAACACTAGCTCCAATTTAGTTTAATATTAGTGATAAATTAATTATATTTTTATATCTTCTGTGACTTTTGCATTCCTTTTGACAAGTTAAATTGAGGTTAATATCATAGGATCCAATTAGAACTCATGATATTACTGTCCAAAGGTTAATATCTTTATCATTTGCATTTTATGATTATTTTTTCTTCCGTTAAAAATAATCAAATGTCCAACGAAGAAAAATTCAAGCTCCTTGGTTATTCATAAGGATGAAATAAATTGGGACAGTTTTTTGTTGATTTATTAACATGCTAATAATAATTGATACATGAAAAATTGATCAATGCACAACCTATTTTGGAACCTTACATATCTTACTTTATGTATATTAAATTGGATATTAGGCATTTTAAAATTCAGAAGCTATTTGAAGTTATTGGTGAATACAATCAAATAATGATTGCTTAGTTTCTTTAATTATGGATGCCATCTACACTTTTGTTCGTGAAGTTCAGTGCGTGTATGCACTTGGAACAATTTCTATTACTAATCCATGCAATAGATATTATATTTATTTATTCTTCGGCCAATATACATATTTTAATCAGTTAAATACTTAAATATTTTATAAATTTTCCCTTAAATACTTGAAAAGATTATTTAAAAATGTTCGAACACCTCAAAACAATTTTAGATTTTCAATATTGGGCCGTGCGCACAGGACAACAGTTTTACCTCCTCTAGTTATTATAGTTGGGAGATTGAGCTCGGGACAACAGTTTCATTTTTCCAATTGTGCTCATGAAACAGATAAGTGTTTTATTTCAATTAGTTTGTAATTGAGACGTAATCAAATTAATATGTACTAATTGATTACGCCTCCTGTTCCGTTTTGTTGTCAAATTTGCTAAAACTAATTGTTTCCAGATACTTGCCATTTTAGAAAATCAAGAAAGACCTAATTAGTTTCTCTGTAAATAAGTAATTAACTTACTAATAGAAAATAGATTAATGTGGTCAAAGAATTAGTAAGTGTGGATTAATCAAATTTAATATTTTTTCGAAGGACAGGTAAAAATTATCCTGACAACTAAATGGGAACAACAACAAACCTTACCCCTACCGGTAGAGAAGCTATTTCCGATGGACCCCCGGCTAAAGTAAAACAAAACAAAAAAAAATCTCCAAAAAAAAAAAAGGAACTAAGTTTTAGCAACAAGTGCCTGCACCATAAAAAGACGGACCTTTTATTTTAGATTCTCAAATTCTGCTAAAACTTCCTCTTCATCTTCAGCAGGCAACTAAATGGGAACAAAGGGAATAATTGACTGATTGTAGTATTTTGCGGTAGACAGTACTGGCTCTCTCGAGGCTGTTGATATTAATCATGAAAACGGAAAAGCAAAATAGGAAAGATTAAGTAAAAGGTGAAAGAGGGGAAGATGAAACCTTAAGCTTGCAGCTCTTTGACTCTAAATAGAGCATAATACAACCTATAAATAAGGTACCAAGGTTTTCAGCTGCCATGAGTTAAATCAAGAAAATAACCTTAGGAAGTGTTCTAGTCCCTGATAATATGCTGAAGGGGAGGGCAAGATCTTACATTCCTCTCATTATTTATTTAAACTCAGTTAGGCAATATAAGACTGAACTGGTCAGTGGATCAAGCATCTAAGCTATGGCTGGAGGGGCAATAGATTCAGGCTCTGGAGCAACCTCTGCCGCAGAGTAACCATTAGCACCAGAGTGGTGTTTGTCAAAACCCCAAAATTTGGCAGCTTTCACATCATCTTGAGCCATTTTCCTTGAAAACTCCTCGTGATCATAATTCAAAGTCGCTGATCCTCCGAACTCAGTAGGAAGATTATCCACATCGAAGAATGACTTCATCAGTTCCACGCTATCCTTGTTCTTTGGATAGACAAACTTGACCTTCTGAAATGTTTTGGGATCCATAAAGTATTTGACAATCTGGAAAGTAAGAAAATGGCGTTAATCAATGGAAAGGATAAAAATAAGGGGGTGGCTGATGCTTACAACAAACCCAGTGTAATCCTATAAATGGGGTCTGAGGAGGAGTGTGTACGCAGACCTTTTCCCTACCTTATAAAGATAGAGAGGCTGATGCTTGAACAATATAAATGAGCTCAACAGGTTGGAAAAGGAGCTGTAAATTATGAATTGCAACTAAATTGCATAAATAGTACGAGAGGAGACAATTTTCAAGGACATGGTAAAGAAAGCAAATTCGAGTACATGATATCACTATGATAGATAGCACATATACCCTGTCAAAGGTTCCAAAGTTTACAGATCCACTCCAGAGCCAGTTTTACCAAAGGCATTAACCAGCCACATCTACTTCTGAAAGGAAGTACTAATCTTTTTGTTTTAAGGTTTACTTTTACCCAACCAATGTTGTATAGTAGGAAATGTTTGTTCAAAGAAAAAAGATCTGAAAATGATGGTGTAACATTGGTAATTTGGTACCTATAATAAGTTCTGTTGTCTTTGAATTAGTTAACACTACAATTAGCTAGGTTTGATCAACAAGCAGGGACAAAAGACAAAGGGGATCTAGAGTATACCATCCAAAATGCTTCAAAAATTCGCGGTGGGTTATACAGAAATGCTACAGCGAGTCTCTCAGGGTAGTGGTTTTGCAAAATATTGATTGTCTCGCGAGCAGATTTTATGGGAACATTATTGGTTATAGACCATCCCGTGAAGTCAATTAACCAGGCCATCTGTTCTTGACCTTCTGGCAGATTAAGAATAGCATTCTCTATCAGATATACCAAATGCTTCATTTGGTTGTCCAGTGCTGATGTGTTCTGCATATATGGGAAACATACTTAATATTTCACTAAATGGAGAAGAAACTAAAAATAACAAAGAGAAAGATTTTGAACACATCAACTTGCTTTTACATTACCTGCATTCCAGGTCGCAATATAAGGACTGTCCTGCCGTAGCGGTCATGAAAATTTGCTTTATACACCTTCCCAGTCTCACCTTCTATTGCTACTTCATGCTGACAATGCAACACCATTTCATGGTCAGCAGAAGCAATTGTAAACTCATATAATACTGAAAGGAAATCTTATCTGCGGAGGCCTAAATATGAAATTCGCAGAGCATTGAATGGTAGATATATCGATAATCATCTACTTCCAACAAGACTTATGGTTAAGACAAAGGAATTGTTTGTCAATAGAAACAAATATACAACAATTACACTAATCCAAGTATTTCACACATTAAATTAAGTCAAGTGGTCAATGCAGTTTCATCATCTCCTTTAAAATATTCACACAATTCACTACAAGAGACTCGTACGTTTTTTTTCATCATTCAAACTAGTCTTGGTTATTAATGTGATTTCGGCGAATCCTACATGTTCATTTTCCAGCTACAATACTAGGTGTGAGCCCATCTGCTCTAGCCTTGATGAGCAGGATTACTTTGGTAACCTATGTTTGTGGACTGGACAGGTTACCCGGTGGATTAGTCGAGGTATGATCCCACACCACTGATATAAAGAAAATTAATGTGATTTCCGACCTAGATTTTTCATGCTAACTCTGGTTAAAAGGACATGTTATTTAACAATAAAAGACAACCACTAGGGCAAATATATTGTTCCCTTACCCAGCGGATTTCTTCAGGTTTAAAAGATGACCTCCATTTAAGTGTCTCCTCCAACATCTTCCTCGATTTATCTACATTCCAGTTCCGTGCTTCCAAATACCTCCTTAAACATGCATCAGTGCAGTACTGCGAGCTGCGCCCTGATAGTGGCCCCAGGGAAGCCCTAAGCTCCTTAACCTATAAGAAGAGCCGATATTTCTAAGAGCTCATAATAGGATTTTTATTGGAAAAGGCCAACACAAACCAATGTTTAAAAAATTTAAAGTATATTCAACATCCTTGCCATGCGGTATCAAGAGCATTCAAGCACACTTTATGAAACTTTTCCAGGATTAGTATCAATATGCCATGACCATGCACCCACAGAACATCAACAACTCTTCCAAAGTACAAACCCGTTCAAAATTTGTATAAAGACAACAACAGAAAACAAGTTTTTAAAATGCACGCGACAGATCCAAAACCAACTATAATCTAACTCAAAGCAGTAACACAAACAATGTCAGAATGGAGGCTATTAACATACACATCTAAACGATAGGACTATTGTTACCTTGTGCTGCTTCTCCTCACCCTCCTGTTCAATATTAGAATGATTCTTGCGACGAAACATGGTCAATGCTGCTATAATTGGTCTCTTAACTGTGCTTTACCTGATAAAACAATCCATATGAACAAGTGAGTAACTTTCAAATAATTAAAAACTTTGCTAACATTAAAATTGCCCATGTAGCAATGCAGACATTTTCTCACAGATGAAATGCTCACACAAATAGACGAGGGGAACAGCCTTCATTAACAAAGAAAAACAGAGGCACAGTTACTGACCTTCTATTGAAAAAAAAGGCTTAAGATTTGCAATGACACTTCCTTTAAACTTTTATTATTATTATTATTATTATTATTATTATTATTATTATTATTATTATTATTATTTATTATTATTATTATTATTATTATTATTAATATTATTATTATTTTGATAAGTATACCGCTCCTAAAAGAGTCGCTGTAAACAAAAGGCAACTGACTTATTGCCTAATCCAAGGTTAGATTTTCACAATTGCAAAACAATTTATTTATAACATCAGAAGAAAGACAATGTCACAGTCTAATAAAGAAGCACAGAGCAATCTGCTGCACCTTTCAATATTTGTATGCTTAAAAAAAGCGGATGATGGAATTGGGAGAAAGGGCATTTGTCCTAGAGTACATTTCTAAAGGCAACTGAGTTACAGGTCTGAAACCCCCTATTAGGTATTTTGTCACTAAGCATGTATCATTTTATCATGTTTTTTCTTAAGAATGCAACAAGACTTGAATAAAAGAATGCTTAAGACTTCTACTAATTAGCAAAGTAGACCTGACGTACCAAGCTAACTAGGCAAAACAGAGACTTTGGCCATCGCCTTTTACTCCAACTAAAGTAGGCTAAAATAGGATCTTAAATTCCATAACTCAAGCCTATGCTGTTTTTCACATTATCTTCACTTGCTTCGAAACACAAAAGGAACTTGAAACTCGTTTTGATTAACCGACACTGCCGAGAACTTTTACTGTTGCTAATCAAGCATTCAACTCTCTCTGGGTAAATTGCAAATTAGCGACTATGTTTTCTGGTCTATCAAGTACAAAATCCATCCTTTTGAGTATCAGCCTTTGCAGCACAAATCATCATTATTCACCAATTGAAATGAAAATGGAAGAACTAACACAAGGTCAAATTCAGGAAGAAGTATAATTTATATGGCAGACCAACAAAAGCCATCAAGCACATTCTCCTAGCAGAGCTAGTCTCTAGCTGTCTGACTAATGTCCAGCTACAACAGAGAGGTGATTCATGAAAAAACACTCTTTCCTTGTTCGTTACGTCAATTAGAGATCACAAGATTGGAAATATTGGAAAAACAAAAACATAAAAGCTAAACTTTCCCTATCCCATAATAATTTTTAACTGTAAAACTAACACACTCATTTACATAGTAATCAGCAATCAATCAATCGACTACCTCATTTCCAGGTCGGGCTCGGTCAGAATCATATGTATCTATTCAGCTCTATTCTTGCTCATTTCAGCTATTCAGGCCCATTCAAGAGTAATTATGGCTTTTTTCACTTTTAGCCCGCACCAAAATCTATTTATATTTGGTAGCCGAAAAAATATATAAAATTTATAGTTTTTTGTATATTACATACAGAATGTATATATATACAAAAATGATACAGAATATACATTTTTTTGGTTACAGTGTAATTTTCCATAGTAATTAATTATGACATAAATCCCAAATCAAGTATTTTACATTAGATTAAGCCAAACAAATTCGTCAACGAGATAATCATTTATCCATAAAACAAAACAATCAACAGATCCAACAACCCAATTAGCAAAAGCAAACACAAAATTAACAAAAGTAAAAACACATAGAAAGTAAGAGATAAAAAAAAAGGGACTTTACCAACTTATGAAAAAAGAAACACACACACAGAGCAAACAAGGAACCCCAAAATTAACAAAAGTAAAAATACATAAAGTCTAAAAACTCTCCGCCACCCACAGCGGCGGCGGAAGCCACTGATCATACCTGACGAGTGAAGACAAACGGTAGCAGAAGCAGAGCACAAAAAGGTGAGTTTTCGGTTATTTTTTCTAACAGAATAATGTCATGCAAAATCTGCCAAAAACTGAACCCCAATTAATTCATACACTACGCGCACTTCTGAACTTTCTCTCTCTATATCTGAGGAGCAGAGTGTAAGAGTCTACACACTGCTTTCTCTCTCTATAAATATAGTCTCATTTTCATATATGTAAGAGAGATATTTTTTATGTATAAATAAAAAAGCTGTTCGGCAATTCGTTAATATTTAGAAAAATTAGTCCTTTGTACGACTCTTATGGTCATTTCCTAATGATTTTTGCTAGTAAATAGTTTCTGGAAGGTGAGACTTTTGTCTGTCACAGACGACAGACACGTGGCATTTAGATCTACTCGATTCAGATTTCATGGTAAAGATCCACCGTTTATTTCCTCGTGAGTGAGAGTCATGTGTTTGAGATCTGTCACTTTAGTCCAATTCGCCGTGCGTTACAGGTGCATTTTGTTGACCGACTGACCCCGGGTCCATCTGATTTACTCGCCGTTGTGAGCATATTTAAAATTTAAAAAAAAATATTAACTTTTAATGTAAAATAAGGTACGTATATTTTGCGTGGTTATAAATCTTTGTATAAAGAAATTATTTTTTTTGGCACAACTAAAAATAAAATATGTTTACAAAAATTAAAACGGATGGAATAGTATTTTTTAAGCTTACTCCTTTTTTTTTTATTCAGCACGGTATTCATTAGGAGCTCGATTACTTTTAATTCGTGTCCTACTGCTAGGAAATTACACTTTGAAGGAAAAATGATTTCTGGTTCGAACCCGAGACCTTTGATTATGGATAACAAAATATTTACTACTCCATTACAATATTTGATGATTCACTCTTTTAACTTAATAGGATTTCTGTAATCAGTCTTTGAGCCGAGGGTCTCTCGCCCTCTCTATCCCAAGGTATAGAGGTAAGTTCTGTGTACACTCCTCTCTCCAGACCCTACGGGTAAGATTCTATTGGATTGTTGTTGTTGTAGGATTTCTGTAATCAATTATTAATAAATTTTAATGTAAAATAAGTCGTTTCAGACCATATACTTGGAAACTTTTTTGAAGTTCTAAAATGAAAGATGCTTGAAATCTTTTCGTGCCACATAAATCTTCTAGTAATATTGCAATATTTTGGNTAGTCCACGTTGGGCCTAGTTGTTTTATTCCTTTTTTTATTTTCTTTTTCTTTTTACTAAGAAAAAAGGAAAAATATGGAAAGGTGCTGAGTGATATATTCTAATATTCGAATCCTACACTTAATGGAGGAGTTGCATATCCTGTCTTATTATAAACTTTTGATTAGATCGATCATATTTTAGTTTCATGTGGTTCCAAAAGTTTGTCTATATTAATATTTCAAAGCATAATTGGTGGAGTATTAAGCATGATAAATGAGAAAAATTGCGGCAGGTCGAGACTAGTGTAAAAAAAAATATCGTATTAGTTTAGTACTAATTAATTTAAATTTTGAATAATGGAGTTTATTATGGATATACCCTAGTTTCCAATGAGAGACTTATTGATCGGAAAAATAATCTAATCCAAAGTAACAATTGTATTTTGGCAAAAACTTCTTAACTTTTTTTCTCTTTTAAAATTAGAGAATATTTCATGAAGTAGAAAGAAAAGTCAAATATCCCAGAAACAAAATTATATTTGATTTTTTTTTTTTTTTTTATTACTGTTTTTAAGATAGAGTTATTATTCAAAGACAAATTCGATGTCTAAAGCCTATATCATAGTGCCTTTTAATTTAAACTAAGTAAATAATTTTCACAACTTTATGGGAAAGTCAAACGAACATTAAATAACTAAGGGCCCCCCCCTTTCCTAGTTTCCCTGACTGTGTATTTTCCGTTCATATGGCCTATTCCTTCAAGTTTGGTCATAAGAGTTGTCGAGAAGTGAAGAGGAAAAATATCTGCGTATTTAGAGCCGGTTTGGCAATGAATTTTTTTTTTCCGAATTTTTTTTACTTTTTTTTAAATTAGAGTTTGTCCATAAAATTTTTAATTTTTTACTTGAAGATAAATTTTGGAATTTTTTAAAAATTTAAAAAACTCCAAAAAATTATTTTTCAAAATTTTTATTTAGATCACTCACAAAAATTCAAAAACAACCCAAAATTATATATATGTCCGAACACAACTCTAATTTTTAAATATCATTTTCACTTTAAAAAAAATTCACTTTCTTTTCAAAATTTTACAACTCTTATATCCAAACGCTCACTTAATACGTTATACGTTACTATTTTTTTTTATTTTTTTTTTTCTGTTTCCTTTCTTTCTTTTTTTCTTTTTTATAGTTAAGGAAATATAGTTATTTCGAGTTTTTTTATTTAGTTAGAAGTTGACAAAAAGAAATACTATTAATTTATGGCTTGAAACAATTGCCATTAATTTCTTCATTTCCCTTCCCCTATTCAAGGCCAGCTCTATCCAAAAAAAAAAAAAAAACTTTAAA